TCTTCCAACCCATTCCATGATTCCATGATCTTTAAGAACCCTTCCAATCCATCCTACGGCTCTATGAACTTTAAAGACCCTTCCAATCCAACCATCCTTTGGTGCAGTGACCTTCGAGGACCCTTCCAACCCAACCATTCCATGCTTCTGTCATCTTTCAGGACCCTTCCAACCCAACCAGTCTATGATTCTATGACCTTTAAGGACCATTCCAACCCAACCATCCTATGGTTCTGTGTTCTTTTAGGACCCTTCCAACCCACCCCATAGTTCCATGACCTTTCAGGACCCTTCCAACCCAATCATCCAATGGCTCTGTGCTCTTTCAGGACCCTTCCAACTGTTCCTATGCCTCTCTGGTCTTTATGCCCTGCTTTCACACCCCGCAGTGCCATGGGCATGCTTCCAGCCATTCTCCCACTTCGAAGGGTAAATACAGCTCTATCCCAACACACATATGTGTGCTTTGCAGCCAGCTCCAGCCAGAGCTCTTCCCGTTGCATTATTCACAAGCCCTCCAAGGCACAGCAGCCAGCCAGCTGCATATTCATCAGCAATACTACATTATTCATGAAGTGTTGGCTTACACTGAGGGGGAACACAATGCCAGCACGGAAGGCAAAAAGCTGGAGAGCAGAGGGCTGTGCCCTGAGACTGCAGAAAAACCATAAAAGAGAGCTGGGGGTTCTTTGTTGGAGCAATTTCTCCTCTGGGAGAATGGTGATGCGTTGGTTGCAAGGAGGGGTGGGGGGTCCAGAGCTGCACATCCAGAGCTGCACATCCAGAGCTGCACAACCAGAGCTCCAAATCCAGAGCTCCACATCCAGAGCTGCACATTCAGAACTAAAAATCCAGAATTCCAGATCCATTGCTCCACATCCAGAGCTCCACATCTAGAACTCTACATCCAGAGCTCCAAATCCAGACCTGCATATCCAGAACTCTGCTTCCAAAGGCGATGGATTTTCCTAACAGCGTTTGGCCCTAAAACATCAAATTAATTGGAGGCTGTGGCAGGAAACTTTGCTGCCACTCTCGACTGTGGACTGGTTGGGTTGGAAAGGTCCTGCAAGGTCACAGAACCATGGGATGTTTGGGTTGGAAGGGTTCTTAAAGCTCTCTACCACTCTGTACCCCATCGTCGAATGGGTTGGAAGTTTGTTGTTTTGTTTTTAGGGTTTTCTGTTTGTTTTGTTTTAATTAGGGGTGGTTGGCAGGGCTGTGCTGGGTGGGGCTGTGAAGGAAACAAGCTTGGCTGGGAATGTGATGGCGTTCAGCACAGCTCCGCGGGGAGCCGCAGCGCGATGGGGGCCACCAAATATCTCCCCCCAGTGACTTCCAGGCCTCACCTCTCCGTCACAGATGATTCCTGGGCCACATATCCCCCCTCCCCCACCACCAAAGACCCCTGGGCCACCCTCCATTGACCCCCTCCCACCCCACATGCGCCCCCTCAGGGCCCTTCGAAGCCCCTCGCTACTGCAGTCCTTGAATGCTGCCCCCCCAAAGCCCTGACTGCCCCCCCCCACTACTCTACGATCTGTTCGAGAGTCCCCGTCGCCCACCTGCCGCCCCCCATCTCTTTATTCGGCACTCCCACCTCCCCCCCGTCTTAAGGGCTGCGGCCCCTTTAAGGGCGCTCGGCCCCGCCCCCTCTGCGTGATGACGCAACGCCGTGCGTGCGGCGCCCACTTCCGGCCCGCCGCCCGCCGCAGTGACAGGCAGCAGTCAGAGCGCGGCGCGGGCACAGCGGGACCGCCGCCCCCCGCCGCCGCCATGAACGGCAAAGGCAAGCACCGCGCCGCGCCTGGGGCAACGCCGGGGGTCACGCCGCGCCGCCGCTGTCACCACCCGGGGGTCGTCTTTTAAGAGGGTCGCGGCGCCTTTAAGGGCCGCGCCTCAGCAGCGGAACGGACCAATAGGAGCGGCACTGCGGGGGGCGGGCGCGCGTGTTGCCATGGCGACGGGCGGCTCGGCCGGGGTTTAACCCTGTGTGCGCCGCGGGGGAGCGCTTGGGGGGGAATCCCCGGATGACGTCACGAGGGGCTGCGTTCAACGCCAGGGGGGAGGGGCGGAGCGGAGACCCTCCCGGCTGAGGAATGGGGGGTGGGCCGTGGGGGGGGTAAGGTGAGGAACTGGGGGGGTTTCTCTCTTTGCAGGGAGGTTGACAGGGACGGGAGGCGCTGGGGAGCCCCTCCTGGGGGATGGGACGTGGGGGGGGGGTGCGTGGAGGAGCGGTCATTGCCTCCTCTGGGATTGGGGGGGAGGGTAGGAGGGGGGCTGTATCCAATGTCAGGGGGTGAATGGGAAGGGGAGACCCCCAGAGGGGCAACGGGGGAACCCCATGGCACGGGGAAAGCACCCCCCAGTACAGGGGGTTCCCACCGCGTATTGCTGGGGATTGGACCCCACCGAGGCAGGGTAGGAACCTCCCCCCCTCCCCCCCACCGCCAAACAAAGGGGTCAGAGCATCCCCTCCCCCACGGCACTGCTCCCCGTGCTCTGCCCCATAGCCCAGCATGGCACCCGAAGACCCTGGGGCTCAGCACCCCATGGGCCAGAGGGGGCCACCCTGCTCTGCTGTGGGTCCGCTATAACCCCGCAACCCCCCCTGCTTCCTTCCCCCACCCCCCGAGGTCCGGGCCCCCCCCCCCCCCCATGTGCCCCAACCACGGCCCGGAATCAGCTGCAGCATTCCCAGCAGCTGCCCTCATCGCTGCGGTTTCATCACATTTCTTCACCAGACTTCCCCTTTTCCCCATCTCCCTCCATCCAACGCAGCACCGAAACTCCAGAATTCCACTTTCTAGTGACCAGAACCTTCCCAGCGTCCCCAGCGGGGATTTGGGGGCTGTGTGTGGGTCGGGCTGTGACCTCCTCTCTCCCCCCATAGGGCAGTACCCCACGCAGCCCTCCTACCCCGTGCAGAGCGCTGCCAACCCCCCTGTGTACCCACAGACTGTGCCCCTCCCGCAGCCCCCGCCGTACACCGATGCTCCTCCTGCGTACTCCGAGGTGAGCAGAGTTTGTTTTCTTCAGAAATAATAAGGATTAAAAGATTAAAAAAGAAACCAAAACCCACAAACAAACAGCAGCTCCGGGTACGCTGATAAATGCGTTTCCTCTCTGCCTCTCTGACTTTTTGCTGCCCTTAATCTCTCCGTAGAACTGAAGTCTGAGCACTTTATTTTTGTTTTTTGGAGCAGAGGTGGCACAGAGCCTCCGGGTGCAGAACGGGGTGGGGGGGAGGGGTGAAGAAAAGAACCGGGGGGAGGAAAGGGGGGGGAAATATGCACTAGAACTCAGGGTGGGGGGTGGCAGAGCAGGAGGTGAAAGTCCACCTCGAGGCTGAGGAAACAGACGGGTGTGTGGGGCCATAAAGCCTGGAATAACGCCCTGCCTCGTGACTCTGTGCAGCTCTACCGTCCCAGCTTCGTCCCTCTGGGGGCTGCCACCGTCCCCACCATGTCGGCAGCGTATCCGGGTGCCTCCGTCTTCCTGCCCGTGGCCCAATCCGTGGCCGTGGGGCCCATCGGTTCCTCTGTCCCCATGGCCTATTACCCCGTGGGACCCGTCTACCCACCGGGCTCCACCGTGCTGGTGGAAGGTGGCTTTGATGCTGGAGCGAGGTTTGGGGCTGGAGGAACCGCCAGCATCCCTGTGAGTACAGACTGAGCCCCGAAAACCTGCAGGGAGGAGATGTGCCTTGATTTCTGACCTGGGAGGTGGGGGGGGTCACAAAAGTGCAGCTGCAGGCTGACTGTGCCCTGGGCTGCATCGACAGACGGGGGGCAATGGGGCACGGAAGGGGTTGTCCCCCTGTGCAGTGGGGAAGGGAAAGGGGTTGTTCCCCCCTGCTCTGCCCTGGTCAGATCTCATCTGCAGTGCTGCCCTCAGCTCTGCCCCTCCCCCCAGCTCAGAAGGGTGGGGGGCTCTGATCACCCTTCCAACCCATCCCCCCAATGGTTGGTGACCTCCCCCTGCCTCTCCCCATGCCCCCATTCCCCATCCCAGTGCAGCTGGGGATGCTCTCCCACCCCCCCCCCC